CTGTAATTTTCCATTTCTAACTCTCAAGTTAGGGCTCACTTTCTCTTTAAATCCTATTTGAATTTCGCCCTTCCCACCCCAGTGAAACTAATGTACTTTCCGTTGTCTCTCTCACGGAACTTTTATGAAAGCATTTGTAACTTTATTTTTTCCCATTTATTTGTCGACAAATCTGTCTCCACATTCTGGAAAATAGGCATTACGAAGCAACAACTGTAACCTAGTCAATCTTTAATCCCATTGTTTTGCTTGGGGTTTGTCATACTAATTAGGAGTTCAGTTATGTGGAATGAATAAATGAATAAATGAAGAAAATAGGATTCTTGAAGGACTATCTTTTAAATTAAAATACCCAACATGCTATTGACCTCCTATACTTACCTCCTATACATTCCACATTTTCCTATTCAGCATAATTTTTTCACTGAAAATTTATGATTCTTCCTCAGAGGAAATTTGGTGACATATGTGTAGCAACATTTATTATATAAATTGGTTATACAATTTTATAAGTTACATCAATTGTTTTATTTTATTAATTTAATGGAATGCCAACATGATTTATGACCAACTCCTCATTATCTGCCAGGGCCTTAATAGCCATTCTGGTTTACCTAGAATCTTCACATATGCCACTTCTGCCACTCAGTCTGGCTCATTTTCTTAGCTGGCATCCATGTACCCAATTATCCTGCCAGTGACAATGAAAAGCAACTATCTGTCTATATCCTAAATGGAGGACAATGACCAAGAGAATGGGGGAAATGATTCCTGAACATGGGATGATTATACTGCAGGTAGTCTGTCTAAATGAAGCTGGATGAGATGATATGTATTTCTCACCCAACTAGTGTTGCTATTTGTTTTGAGTTTTCCTTTACTTTTTAACCCAAGAAAAACTACCCCCATGAACTTCTGTCAATCTACCAAACTGGAACAAATCTCCGCTGCTGATTTTCCTTTAAAAGAAAATCTGATAACTGAAAGGTATAAAGATAAAAGATAAAGGCCCTCCCTAGTGCTTAAGAGTTAAGTCACCAAGCTAACACCTTGGCCTACCACAAAGCTCTGAGTTCAATCCCAACCAGGGATAAAACCCACAAGGCTCAGCAGACCTCTCCTGTCTTGGCCCCTGCTCCCCTCAGCAGTGTAAATCTGCTTGTTCTACTCCTCACTTTGTCTCTGCTGAATCCTTTCCCTGCCCCCTACCTCTGATCTATACTTCAGTTCTTCTATGCATCAATCAATCTTTCAAGAAATGGTAATCAGTTAAAATGGTAAATTTTTTTCGGAGATTATTTGACAGGAAGGTAAGGTATACATTTAGAATAAGAAAAATATTAAATACAAATAATTATAAGGCTTTGAGTATATAAAATTAATTTTACATGGTTTATTTTGAAAATACTTTCAAGGTAAATTAATCTTTCATTCTCACTTTACAGATAAGGAAATTAATTCAGAAAGTGGTAGGAGAAACAATAACCCTCAATTAAGATATTGAATATATCCAAAGAAAGTCACTATTGAAAACAACCAAATTTTTGATAACTGATAATAAAATGAAACAAAAGGAAGTGTAAGCTATTGCAATTATAGCTTTGAATCAGCTTTTCCACTGTGTACTGAGGCTGTATAGCATAATGGTTATAGGATTCAGGTTCGAGAGTTAGGCTGCCTAGGTACAAATGTTACTCCTTCACTTACTAGCTGGGCAAATTTAAGGAAGCTTTTAGGCTCTCTGAGTCTTACTTTCTTCATCTGTACAACGGAAAAATAACTAAACTACTTTTGTAGACTTAAAAAGATTACATGAAATTATTATTCTTTGTTTTACTTTCTAGTCACCTTCAAGTTATTAAACCGTTAACATTTTGGAAAACATTAAAGGACCATATGTAAATACAAGGTTACGTGATGATTCTACCCTTTGCAGTCCTGAGAGAATCTACATACAAGTCTCTACCAACACTTCAACACCTTTGCCCTGTAAGTGTAATACAAAGCCCCATGGCCAACTTATGGGGTCTAATATTTTTAAATGAAACAAACATAAACCCTCCCAGTGACAGGTGCTTTTTATTTTGGTGACTGTGAGTAGAGCAAAAAGTGGGTGACTGAATAAGTAAGCGAGTTTTTAATGATAAGAGTTTAAAACTTCTATGAAAATTATTCACATTTCTAAACTTTGTTTCTATATATATTAGCTAACGTTTAACTACATTCAAATTTTGAAAGGTATACATTTTCAAAGGTAACTTTTAAAAGTATACAGAACAGCTAATGATTAAAGGCTGTTTATTAAGTTCTAAAACATATCAAATTTAGTTTTTCAGCTTTTTACAATAAAACAGAAGATATCTAACTTAATATTATCAACAGGATTGTGCAGATGAGAATGGAATCTCCCTAGCATTCAAGTCTTATACAGAAAATGTTTATTCTTAGAGCAGAGTAGATTTCAATAGAGTGCAGCATAGGCACCAAATGATCAAAGATAGTCAAGACCCTTCTCATCTATCTTTATGCCCAGCTTCATTCTTCTGGAACATTTTTAGAACTAAACTCTGGAGTCAACAGTACAAACTGTGGTCTTCAGTAAATCTCAAAATCTAAATCTACCTCATGTTTTTAAAATCAGTTTTTCATATCATACATTTCCCTATTCTAACTTCACCTTCTAGCACTTATCCTATGTTGTTCTCAACTTTTATTTTCTCACTCCAATTAGATAATAAATTTCTCGAGCTTTTACTTACAGGGTGTCCAAATTAAACTAATACACTTGTTAGATGTTTTTTAAGTGAATGTATTGATTATTTAATGATACAAAATGGAACCAAGGTACCAAACTATATTACTTACTTTACTATCACTAATAGTAGTATAATTCAGTTCCAGTTTTTTCAGAGGTCAGGCTCTCTAGTTTTGAAATAGAATGATTATACAGACTGATCTATAAGATTACTTAAAGTTTTGTAAGTTTATGCTTTCATATGTCAACTGAAATTTAAAAAAATACATCAAATTTTAAAAGTATATATTTTCTGGAGTAATTGTTTAAGAATACACAAAACAGGTGTATAACGGTAATGTATTATGGTATAAGCTGTTCTTTCATTAAGTCTTAGACATACTACTACAATTTCTATGTTCACTATAGTGGAAAAGTAGCAGCTTGATAACATTGCTCCAAATGAAATTACAAATAGGTAAAATGTGACATTTCAAGTAATTGTCCCTAAGGGATATATTTTACTATTTTCTGTTAATAATAACATATTCAAACTGATATAATAATCTCCATTTTCCATAAATAAACTTACAGGAAAAGCTGGCTAACAAAGTTCAGACTAGGTTATCACATATAGTTAAAGCTTAGAAAGAATTTATTCACAGAAAAAATTTTAGGTATATTTAGACAAACATTTAAATTTTCCTTCTGTTTTCTGTAAATATTCCAAAGATTATCCCTTAGCTATCAAGCTCAATTAACAATTTCTAGCTGTAAATTGCTTTGTCAACTTAATAACAGAAATAACAGAAACAGAAGAGTCTGTCACTATTAAAAATATAAACACTGTACAGGCCAGCACTTGCTAATGAAAATCACTGCTATGATTCAATTACAAGGCACACTCCTTTTTGATCACAATTAGCATGTGTATTACCTTTAAGTTAACTGTGTTAAGTTAAAATGGTAAAATTACAACTCACCAGGCACAAATAATTCCTCACACTTTCTGAACAGGTTATATTTTCTGAATAATTACTTTTATGTAATTTAAAAATATAAGATAATAATAGTTCTACCACTAACCTGGCTTTTTAAAATTTTCATATCACGTACTGAATTAAATTCTTTGGCAATTTGTATGAAAGTGCTAAAAATCTATCAGAACCTTATTAGTGAAACATAAGCCATACATAATAATCTGATTTAACTATTCACATGAAACAAAATGAATACCTAACTTTAAATCAGTTCTACTTTAGAATTGATTCTGGAAGAAAAATCTATTTACTTCATGCTAATTTACAAATTTAGCTTAAAATATGTTGCAAACATAGTGACATTAAAAGATACTATTTACTCAAACTTGAATAAATCAGCAGCAGCATTCCCTCAAGTGCTGAGATGTCTAATTTACACCATTTGTTATTTGGTCATCATCGTGAATTGTAAAATCTGAGATGAAACTGACAAAGGCAAAGCCAATATCCACACACATATCACACAGACATTTTCCTAGTAGTTTACCGTTTTGTGTGAAGTATAGAAAGTTGCACCTTTAACTCTCAGGAGAAAGCCACTACTTTCTCAAAGCACTTCAACCCCGAATGACCTTTAAGTTTTACAGTCACTGTAGCACATTCTTAACCGTCTCGAGACAATGCAAAGCCTGCCTTGCTTTTTTCCTTCGAATGGATAAAGTTGCTGTTCAAGTGTCAGATTTTTCATTCCCAACCTGGAGCGAAGATGATCTCTAAAACATAGTTGCCCACTCAGCATTAACCTCACCTGCGGAGAGCCATGCTCAGCAGCCCCTCTCCTTGGCAAAAGGCTGGGTTGAACCCAAGTGATGGAGGGAAAAGCGCCAACTCGGTCCACAGCACACTACCTGTGGCTGCCAAAGAGGGGGGTGGAAGTGGGGGAAGTAAGGGTTGGGGTGGCACAGGGACTTCTCTGCCCGGGGCATTTTGGGGGAAGTGTTCCAGAAAGTGAGCGTCCTCCCACCCCAGTGAAAGCAGGAATTTCGGGGACCGCTCCAGCCCCTCGCTCTTCCATTTAGTCCCCGGCGCTCAGCTCTCACGCCGGAGCTGTGGGGGGGAGGGAAGGCAGGAGGAAGGCAGCAGGTCCCAAGGGCCCCTCGAGCGGCTCCCGGCGGCCGCGGCGAGGCCTGGACCATGCCCGCGGCCTCGGGGCTCCGACCTGGAGGGGCGCTCTGTGCCCCGCGCCGGCCCGCCCGGCTGGTACCCGGACCCGATCGTACACTCACCGCTCTCCACCTCGCAGCCTTTCTTGGCGGTCGCCGCGTTTCCCATGACTGGGGCGATGGAAAGAAGGGGTCAGGGAGGGAAAGGTGGGAGGGGGGGGTACTGGGGCCGTCCACGCCGCTCCACAGGCTGGGGCAACTCCCGCTCCTGCACGGGTCAGAGCGGTGGGTGCTCCCGGAGCTGGCGCCCGGTGTTCGGGCGGCAAGAATGAGCTGGTTTGGAAGTCAGGCTTGAGCCAACTCCTCAGCACCCGAGGCGGCAGCGGTAGCAGCAGTGGCGGCGGCAGCGGCGGCGGCGGGCAGACACTCCCCCTTCCCCCGCCCCGCTCGCCCTGCTCGCAGCCGGGCGCGCGCCGGCCGGGCTTGGTCCCTCTCCGCCGGCGGGTGCGCGCGCCGGAAGTGACGTGCCGGCCCGGGACGCAGCTGCTGGACCGAGGGGAGTCGAGTCCCGGGCGGCGACTTTGTGGCCAAGAGTGGCCTTGCAGCGGACGGTGGAGCTCGGACGAAATCGCCTAGAGTGGCGCTCGGACACCCGTCCCTGGTGTAGGGCGGCGGCGTGGGAACTGTTAGCTTGAAGGAAGCGGCCGTCTTTCCTCTTGGCATCCCCCTGCCCTTGAACTCTGCCGCGGGAGGACGGGCTGGGAATCGGGTAGACCTCTTTGTGCCACCATCGCGGCGGGTCCTCACTCAAGCTACCTTCTCCCCACCATCCTGGCTGGAAAGAGTCGCACGGTTGGGTAGGAACACACGCGAGGAAAACCCCTGGGTTCTCTCCAACCTTGCGGGCGAGTCAGCGTCAGCCGCGGGAATTACGATCAGCCCTAATTACGATCGTATTCGGAGCTTGTTTGCCTCCTAGATGCAGGTTTTGGCTGACCACACCACGTTGGGTCTGGCTTCTTAGGCACTAACCACATGCCGTGATGTTTCCAGCGCAGTTTTCAGTCGCTGTTGGTTTTGCCGGATAGTTTTCAGGACTTGTTCAGACTTCGCAGGCGGAGGTAAAGGATAATATTACCATTCCTGCTGAATGTCTATTGACCTGCGGCTTTGTGTTCGGCAGTGTTCTACGTAGATGTCAAAATAAATACATTCCCAATTGGTAGTTGCGTTTTTATTACATATTTTAGAGCACTCGAATTTGCTAATAGCTTCACTTATCAGGTAATTTATCAGGTACTCTTTTGTTGCTTTTGCATGATCTTTGAACTTGGCTTTCTGAGCATTTATTCCAAATTTAGAGTAAAGATTGGAACTTCCCAAGGGACAGAAACCACGTAAATTCATTTTGTATCCCGAGGTACCAAACACAGGAAGTGTTTAACGGATACCTGCTGACTTGAAAGTAAGCAAAGGAAATTTCTAAGAATTTCATATATATATATATACACACGTATATACATACATACATACGTATACATATGTATACGTATACATATGTATACGTATGTATGTGTATATATATGTATGTATATATGTATCTCTAGTCATATACCTAACAATAGTGGTGGTGTAACTGTAGGAGTAACTAAACTTTTTGCTTTTTCATACTAACATTTAGCATACGAAATTAATTTGGCAAATATTTATATCATGTATACTATATTCCAAGTAATGCACAAGTAATAATTCATTTGATCCTTGCCAGAATCCTATAAAATACTTAGTTTTGCTGTCATTTTCTTGTGAGTAAACTGAAGTACAAATAAGTGAAGCAATTTGCTCTAGGTTACAACTGTTACAACTGTTACAACCTGGTGGAATATTTGAACCTAATTTATAGGCTCCAGTGTCTCATCTTTGGTCCATGATGTTGATCAGAAAACTGTAGATGTTGTTCAAGTTGCTTTCTTTCATTTGAAATTTCACCAACTGAAAAAGATATGCACAGCGAGTTTTCTTCTTGGAAGAGTTCATTGTATTGTTTGAGTTTCTGTTAAATCCAAGTAAAATAAAGATAATAAGGATGGGAGGATTTGAACTTGTTCTTCAGGGTGGGCTTTGTATCAGTGTGTAACACTATCGTAAATAGTGTAACCTTCCATCACATTATATGTGGATGTAATATTTTGACATACATAAACACTTCAATAAATAGCATAAAATCACACTTACACCAAATTAAAGATAACTTTTTTACCCAAGAAAATCTTTCTAGAATACGGGAATATATATACTGTCCTCACTAGCATGAGCGAATGTAAGTGTATCCATTAGTTATAAAAATGGTTATGTACATAATTTGACTCAACAGAATTTTGAATTCTGGGTCTCCAAAAAAAGGACAGCTATCTGCTTAGTAAATCTTAACTTGCAAAGGAGACAGTTCATAGCTATGATACAGTTAGATACATCATAACTACATTTTGGAAAATTAATAAGCAAAAGTTCAGCTTTATGAAATTTCCCCCTTGTTCAGTTTAAATTCATCATTGGTTAGAAAAAGTTAATTGTTAATAAGACTATAACATGACCAACAATTGAAAATACCTTATTTTTTCCCTATAGTATTATTTTGGATTCCTGTATTAGTTTACTTTGTTGCTATAATACAAGAAAGATCATGCTTAAGAATACAGTTTCATAAACAGTTTTCAATAATTTAACACAATCATTTGTAGTTACATACAAGTTGCTTCTCAAAGAGTTCTCTAGAGGAACATACTGTGTTTGCAGCATCCAAAATACTATTGGGTCGTCGTCCCTCTTGGCACAATGGGTTAAAGCGCAGCACTATGAAGCTGCTCACAGCCACGTAACCAAGGGAGTGACCCACATGTCACAGCAGACCTCTCCTGACCTGCCCGCTGTGCCCCTCAGCAGCGTATTTCAATACATATGCCCCATTCTGCTCCGCACTCTGTTTCTGTTGAATCTTCTCATCCCCTCATTTCTGGCCTGTACCTTCTATGTATAAGTAAATCTTTTTATAAATAAATAAAATACTATGTTTCAGGGCCTATCTGATGGCGTAGGGGTTAGGTCCCGGCACTACCATTACCACAGTCCACTGTAGAGTGGAGTTGATCCCCAGTATCTTAGTAGATCCACCTGTTCTGCTTCACATTCTGTCTCTGGTAAATCCTCTCACTCCCTGCACTTGCTGACATACACCCCAGGTCTTCTAGCAAAAAAAAAAAAGTAAATAAAATACTATTTTTCAAGAATTGTTTTGCTACATTCTAGAAGGGTCAGGAATTGCTATAAATGTTCAATTATTGTTGAATGATGGAAGCTGCATGGGACAGTTGCTATCCTTTCTAATAATGACTGCTGTATCTTTCACAACCACTAATGTAGAACACATCTTATTCCCCTGAGAAAGCAGATGCAGTAGGAAGGGACTAACAAAGAAAAGACTTCAGGTTCTCTTCCATATAGTATTTTATCTTAAGAATCTGTGGCACTATATAGTAATGAAAATTGATGCTAGTTTCTTTGGAAATTATTAACCTTACACTTACAAGATTTTTACAAAAATATTCACACACCATTTTTTTATTTGGTCCCCACAATATATCAACTTCAGCAAGACAAATTAGCCTGATTTTACAAATGAATAAAACTAAATTTGCAGACCAACTAACTAGACCAAGATCACTTAAATTGTAAGTAGAAGAGCACTGGTCTACATGCCATCATTTGGTAAAACAAATATAACTCCAATCTTTATTAGGATTAGACTTTTATTATCCTTAAATTGCAGATGAAAAACCTAAAGCTTAGAAACTAAGAGCCTTTGCCCATCTTTGCTCAGGAATGAGAAATTGGGGGGAAATAGTAAACTATTATTATTTATGTTGTGGTTTTCTTACTTATCAACTTGATTTTCAAGTTCTTTTAAAGCACCCTCAAAAACAATGTATGTCAGAAATACTTATTTTGCCTTTTAACTAGCAGGGCAATTAAATATGGACAGGTCATTTTGTCTTTATATTGTGGTTGACAGCAAGTAAGTGCAAGTGAGAATTAACTATCAAAAGATTGTGACTATTTTGAGTAACAGGTAACACACTTTGTCTGATATTTTATTATTGTACTATATTGTATATGTGATAACAAATATCCCACATTAAATATCGGCAAAAGGCAAAACAATATTTCTGAAATGAAGAAGTAATTTTTAGTTAATAAATTACAAGAATGCTATAATAATTGTTCAAATCAGCCTAGTTGAGTACAAAGTACTGATCAATTACCTGAAATTTTATATTCATCTTCTTAGGTTTCCTTCACAGATGAAAAGGCTGAAATAATCGACTGGTTAAATAATCTGCTCAAAATCAACAAAAATGAGCTAGTTCCAGGGTGGAATTGTAGCTTATCTCTTTCATAGGAACTGAAATATATATTGCAAGTTAGGGGTAAAGCGAAAAGCTTGGACAGCCCTCCCTGGTGGTGCAAGGATTAAAGACACAGCGCTATCAAGCTATGGCCAGAAACTGCAAATGGAGTTCCTCCAGGCCAGGGAGCTAACCCATATGGTGTGGCAGACCTCTCCTGTCTCTCCTGCTGCTCCCCTCAACAGTGTATTTCAATGCATCTGCCTGTTTTGTTTCCCACTCTGTCTCTGGTGAATCCTCTCACCGCCAAACCTCTGGTCTATACCTCAGTTCTTGTATGCATAAGTAAATAAACCTTTAAAAAAGAGAAAAGTATGGAGGATGAAACCCCCCATCTTTGAGCCACCCTGGTGACTCAAGTTGTCTCAGCACTATGAAACTATCTGCAGCACAAGTGACCAGGAAGCTGACCACATGAAACAGCAGACCTCTCCTATCAGGCCCACTGCTCTCCTCAGCAGTCCTCAACAGTGTATTTCAGTCAATCTGCCTATTCTGCTCCTCACTCTGGTGATTCCTCTCACCCTTCCTGCCCTGGCTCCTACCCCTGGGCCTACACCCAGCTCTTGTATGCATAAATAAATAAATGTCTCAGAAAAGGTATATCTGTGTTGGCTATTCTGATTTTACTAGTGTGTTTTGTCAAAACTACTAAATCTCTACTGTTTCACAATTGTGCAATGCATGTTTTGACTTCATACCAAAAATAACATCCACATCTACGAAATACCTTCTTCTTTATGAAATCACCAGATAGAGCAAGAGCTGTCATGAAAACTCAGCCTCATCATTGACTTTATTTTTGACCAAGGTAAATTTGATTCACTAAATTAAAAATTATATTCATGTTAGTGGCAAACTAGAGTGGCACTGTATAAAGTGAAGGATTTGAGCTTTATGGTCAAAATAATTGACTATGGCCACTTATCTGTGACCTTCACATAAATTACTTCATTTTCCTTGATCTTAGTTTTCAACATGTGAAGTTATATGAGTTAGATTAAATC